GTGAAACCTTCTGATAGCTGGCCGAAAAAGGAGTCAATGAGTGCAATATATATATATATATATATTGAAAGCGCCATTGCCAGCTCAGACTCGTGCAGCCATTTCCCCCTGGGTTCATTCGTCCATGTCGAGTCGGAACCGCGGTCTGTGAGATGTTTTGGCAGATTTTTGGATGGACGATTGGTTACCTTTTCTGGTCGATCATAGCTGCACCACCACTTGCCTACAACGATCTGGCAATTCCGGTCCCAAGTCCGGAGGACATGAATCCGCAGGCTGATGCATTTGTACCTGCCCAGCTCATGTCCGGCGTGAGGGTTGTCACAGGTTCCTCGTCCTGTGATCAGAGTGCCATAGCCACCACCTTTGAGCAGACAAGGCCTGGCACGAAAATCAACGAGGCATGGACGTTTGCTGGCTCCGGCCATATTCAAGACCCATCACGATGCAAACGCATCAAGAGAAGCTTTCGCAGAGCATGCAAGAGATCGCTCCTGTACGGTTGTGTCCAATACAAGGGTAAGGAGCTCTGGCCTTCGATGGTCCCCTTCAGGATGAAGCAGTTGCTTATGACTGAACTCCGACATCGACCTGCAGTGAAGCCCCAACATGTTAACTCCATGCCATCGACCTCTGAGGCCTTACAGATCTTTTGCTGGAACGCCTCTCAGAGCCTTCAGCTTGAAGAATGGATCACTTGGTGCTCCACCCAACCATACACGTTGGTATTGGTCCAAGAGACAAGCTGGAATCTCAACAGACGCTGGACTGCGCCTGGATGGTATATGATACACAGTTCTGCAGGAAGGGCCTCCACCTTGTGCATGGTTCGAAGCACGCTCCTTCGACCTGATCAGTTGACGTATGCAGATGTGCTTCCAGGCCGCCTCCAGCACATCAGACTGTATCTAACTCGGATCCATGACGTGTTCAACATATATCAGGTAGCATGGAACACAACCAAACCTCGCAATGTCCTCCTCCAAGAACGAGCCTTAGTTTGGCAATCCCTCAAGGATGCCATACAACATGTCCCCAAGGGCCATATGCTCCTGATTGCAGGTGATTGCAACACCCCTGTGATGTGACTGCAGCACCACCCGCCATTGAATCCAGAGATGCCAAATACGGTCTGGCAGCCCAGAAGGATAAGCATGCTTTTCAACGTCTTATATACGACCTTGATCTTTGTGCACCCCACTGTCGGGGCAAATGGAATCCAACCTTTCAACATGGCACACACTCGTCTCGGATCGACTTCATGTTTCTTAGGACACATCAGCACCAAGGCCGGAAACATGATGCTAGGATACTCACACAGTTCGAACGATCAATGCCCAATGAAGGTCCCCATCACCATCCGCTGACCATATCCCTGCCCAGATGGTTTGCTCCACCTCGGTGCACTCCCAAATAGGTTCACATCGACCGTCAGCGCTTGAGGCATGATTTCAAGCACCAGAACGAGAACTGGCAACTTTTTGAACACAAGATGCTCACCCTGTTTGAACAGGTGACCGCTCGGTCTGTGTCCAACACTCTTGACACATGCATGTCCGTTGAACAACAGGTTCGAGACCTCTGTGTCCAACATTTTGCCACACAACATGTTTTCCGATCGCTTTGTCCTCAGGTACGATCCATGAGCGCTCAGATGTGGTTTGCTCGTCGTCAACTGGTGAGACCTCAGCCATGCACCCTACATACCCTGTTCACCAGTTGGAAACATGCCACACAGTTTGAGAAACTGCATAAGCTCATTCGTAAACAAAGTCGCATGAATCGTAAGAATAGACTTGAAACCTTCCTTGAGGAAAGTGTGCCGCTAGTCCTTCGAAACCAGACGCATGAATGGTATAAACGAGTACGTACACTGTGTCCCAAGCAACAGTTTCGTCGCATCCAGATGTTCGATCAACATGGAGCTCCAATGTCACAAGACCAAGAACTTGACCGATTGGTAGATTACTTCAAGACATTGTTCACTGATGTTCACCCTCCACTTCCTCATCCACCTTCACCTCAGACTCTGCCATTCACTGAGGACGATGTGCAGCATGAACTTGAAAGACTACCAATCACCAAAGCATTGGCCCCAGATGGATTCCCAGCCCTGATTTGGAAGCATTTCGCACCGCAGCTGACCCCCATCATCTATGAATGCATTCGTCAGACCTGGACCACTGATCCATGCATTCCGCCCACTAGATGGTCGACAGGATGGTTGCGTCTCATTCCCAAACCTAATAAGACCCCCAAGAAGCCTGAAGCACTAAGACCCATTTGTCTTCAGCATCCTGTGAACAAGGTCATGTCAGGCATCCATTGTCGGTTGATACAGCACCATACCTATCCTGTTCTAAGAACCATGCCTTTGTACGCGTACATGGCACACCGGGGAACTAAGGATTGTCTGCTGACAATTTCCCATCACTGCCGAACAGTGAGAGATTTGCGCAGAGCTCACGGCAAAGACCAAGCTAAGCAGGGCCTGTGGGGAGGCATGCAGATTTCGTTAGACATGGAAAAGGCCTGTGACACAATAAGTAGGTCTCCAGAGCACTCCATGCATTCGACATGTCCACCGACCTGCAGAATCTTGTGCATTCGTGGCTGGCCCCGCATAGGTATTGCATTTCGCACAAGGAGTTGGTTGGCATGTTCCAGGCTTCAGGAGGCATTAAGCAGGGATCCAAAGATGCCCCCTTGTTCTGGACCATAAGCATGTATCTCATACTTCAAGACCTTTTGGCCCAGTATGATCATGCCTGGATCGTCAATCACATCCTCATCTATGCAGATGACATCCACCTCAGATGGATCATCACCTCGCCGAGTGAAGGCCCCGCCGCATTGCATGACATGTCCTTCCTGATCAGGGTGTTTAGTGCTTATGGCATCAACAGAAGAGCGTGGCTCTCACTCGACTGGTTGGCCGAGCGCTGAACCCGTTTCTCCGCCGTTGGACCAGCAGACCTACAACAGGTCCTGTGCTGCACCTGCCGGATGCAAATCTGACGATTCCTCTCGTGAGCAAAACCTCATACCTAGGTACCATTGTGAGTTACAGGGCATGGGAAGCAGACACGGTCAGACGTCGGATCGCTGCCGCTCAAACATGCTTTCGAATTCTCCGCAGGTGGCTTCTTGATGGGCATCATGACATCAAGATCAGAATCCGGTTGTACAATCAATGTGTTCTTCCGACTGTTCTGTACGGTGTATTCGAGATGGGAGTAACCTCACAAGGAAGTCAAGCCATCATTGGCATGATCAATAATCATCACCGATCAATTGCTCATGCACCAGTCCATCTCACAAGAATTCCCACCATGGAATTCTTCACCTCATTAGGACTTCATCCTCCATGGATCACACTACAGCAGCATTTTCAACGACTGACGAAAGCCTTGAACCACTGACGGGATTTTCTCCGCAGTTCGGCCATGTCTGCATCAGTTGAAGATGTGTGTGTCACGATCCCAGAGTACCCTGATGCGCACATCACTCCCCAACACCTGGACTCCTTGCACTCGCCTCAGGAACCTGCACTTCGATGCCCTGAATGTGCTCGAGTCTTCACCCAGGCCAGTTCGTACAAACGACATCTCAGAGAATACCACCAAAGCCCTTGTCTTCCGGATGATCTCTTTCAACCCTTGAGAGATGCTTTAGATGGCCATTCAACATGCAGACATTGTTTGAAAGCGTTCAGACTTCTATAGATTGAGGGATCACAGCAACAAAAGAGTTTGCTTGCTGTTTGGCCCGACCAAGGACACGATCGTGCCAATCTCTAATCGTCCAGACCTCCGCATGCGTCTCAGATACAAGAGTATCCCTGGTTTGATCCTCAACAAAGCACTCATGAGTGAGCTAGCCAATCACTGTGCATACTGCCACTCGGCCATAGCCGCCAGATCGATTCGACGACATTACACAGATGCCCATCCACAGCTTTTGCAATATGAGCCTCTTCACCGAGCACAGGTGTACGGATTGGCTCAACTCGGATCCGGCAAAGGTCAGTGCATGCTGTGCGAACAGACCTGCAACAACGTCCAACGCCATCAGTGTGGGGTGTTATTTCAACTCAGTGTTTTGCTAGGCCAGACATATGATGTGTCTCACTTCCCAGTCATGCCCATCATGCTTCGTGCCCTGCCGGCTGACCTGCCAGATGAGGATCGACCGTCGTCCCGACCGGCTATGTCCACGGAGCCTCAGGACGAGAGACCGAGTGAGATACCTAGTGCAGTCCACAAGCCTTCAGCCCAAAGCTCTAAGCCTGAGCCCAGCGGTCTTTCCAGTTTGCACAAGTGTACTCATTGTCACATGGCATTTTTGTCGGCCACCGGTCTACACCAGCACATGCAAGAATGTCACGATCCCACTGTGCTTGACCCGGATCATGCACCACCGGCCCAGGTACACAAGAAATGGAAGACTTCAAGAACGATCCAACAGATGCTTGGACTTCCGTCCTCAGGACCGATCCCTGAGGCACCCAGACAGTTTGAGTGCCCCTTGCGCCTTGAAACTGTTGGACGAAAGGCCCTGATTGGACACTTGCGTCGAGCACACCAAGCCACACACATCAGAGCTTTTCCATTTGTTCCTGATCAAGATATGCTTCCGGGTAGTCTGACCTGTCGTCATTGCTATAGCACCTTCACCATGGAGCAAGCTTTGATCACGCACTTCAAAAGAGGCTCCTGTCCGGTCTTGACGTGTCAATGGGCCAAAGCTCAACATTTCGGCACCATGACCATGTCCGTGCAAGTTCCTATGAAGCCAGGGGTTGATCACA